GTGATGAATTAGAATCCATCTACAAAATAAAAGAATGACAAAAGCTTTAGTATATGTTCTTCTTAAATTCAAGAATGACAAAAAACAAAGCTGATGACAATAACTTGGTAACACGAAACACAAAATRAAACGAAACATGGGTTGTGAAGACAAAGATATTTATATATCTCCTCAAGACTGAAAAAAATAATAATCTCATAACTAAAGCAAAGATTGTACAAACCGTAGACTAACCCTRCTACGTTCCATAACTAAAGCAACAAAACGGGATTTGAGGCRGTTCCTAACCCTCGCTTTGCAAGTCATCCTCTCGATGGTCATTACTAAGCTAATGGCTGATTATGACACCAAGAGTAAAGCTGCAATGGCAAAACTTGAAAAGCAGCACAAGGAGAGTGACTACTCCTCTTAGTGTCCTTAATGAAGGTCAAACAGTAGCATATAATCTCATATGATCGGAGTTTGTCTTTCGTTATATTAAAACATGAATCTAAAGCAAGTTAGTTGGTTTTAACATATATCAAAGATTACAGTAATTTGTATAGAAAGAAACCAGAAGAAAAACTTGATATAACTCTTAAACATGATATACCTACATAAACCCATAAACTTAAATAGAAAAACCCATCAAATCCCAAGAACATCAATCAACATATTAAGCTCTCTCGCCTCTATTACGTTCCATAACTAAAGCAACAAAAGAGCAAAACTTACATAAACCCATAAATTTAAATAGAAAAACCCATGAAATCCCAAGAACATCAATCAACATATTAAGCTCTCTCGCCTCTATTACTCATGTAAGCTTTCCATGAACATCCCAAGAACATCAATCAACATCAATCTGTGTGTATGTGTATTGATATATATTGATATATATGGTTACAACTAACGAGAAGAGAAGAAGAACCTTCGCAAATTACAAATCGAAAAAGAGAAGAAYAACCTTTGCAAATTACAAATTGAAAAAGAGAAGAAGTCGATTACAAACCTGAGATGGTGGTGACCAACTTAAGTTTCGATRACCTTGAGGAGGGAATCAGGAGGTCTATGAGGGTTTGGTGAAGCTTGTTGCGTACTGTCCA